TATCATGTATAATATATGACCATATGACAACTATTTACATATGGAAACTACAATTCAACATAATAACATAAAAATACAAGTAGCTGAACAAAATACAGATACAAGTAGCTGAACAAAATACAGTAGCTGAAAAAACTAACACGAAATTCGATTACAATTTATTTATGATTAAATCACATTAAATGCACAATTGAAACATGTGAAGTCTTAATTTAGTTAATATTCTTATCTAGACTTTAACATTATTATTGTAGCATTAAGAATGTGGAAGACATTGTATATAACTCACACAGTACTAGCCATTAATATTGCAGCTACTTTTGTGACAGGTTTTGTAGAAATTGTAAAAATCTGGAGAATACATGTATGCCGCAACATGTCTTTCAAAAATATTCAGTGGTTGGTTTAGAATAAGGATATGAGGACATTTTCTTTGGTAACACATGTATCTGGGGTAACCATATGAGAAAATTATGTACCATTTCACAAAAACATTATTAGGCTGTTTAACAAATTACAATTATATTATTTTTGATTACAATTTACACTTTAATAACAAAATGTATCCTGTAATTACTAAACTACTTTATGAAATAAATATGACACATTGAACAATAGTTAATGTTACATGCTTGTCATGTATTCATGTCATTAATTAAAAACAATCGGTATATAATATTTACAATACTGTATAGAATACAATAATATAATTATATAATATATAAATACTTTACCTACAAAATGTTTTCTGTACATTCATACTTTAGAGATTATACATACAATTTCATTTAGCGATTTTAATACCACACTGAACAACTACGATCTGCAGATAAAGTTGTGAAAACAGAAATGATTGACAGAAAACTAGAAAACAGGACAAATGTACTCCACAGAGAAGTTGTTAACACAAATGAAACTGTTTTCTAGCATCTTAATAATGTATTGATTAATGATTGTTTCAATCTATATATTTGGCTTGATTTTTAATCAATATTATATATATTAATGAATTAACATATAATTATTCACATCTATGATGTTTTAGTAGGGGATACTTAAAAGTAAGCAAAGTAGTAGTACTAACACAGCACTTTACTTGACCATTATTGGTTCAAGTGAAAGACAAATTACCAAAACAGTAAAATAAATATACAGTTGTTTTCATCATAACAGTGTACATGCTGCAATAGACTTATAGTATTGTCTTCAGCTAGAAACCACTTAAGAAGACAATAGAGCTTAACCATCGGATGCCACCCTTTGGAACATCAAAGAAGCTACCATATATTAATCAGATTCATGTCATTGGTTGTAGAACGTAGGTAGCAATGTGTTTAAGCAACAATAATTGCTTATTTTGAAAAGTACAACCAATGGCATCACCAATCTAGTCAAAATATCATAGTTTCCTTGATATAATACCAAAATGTGTCAGATTTTATTCGAAAGGTCTATTATGCACAATCTATGTACAGTACGAGTTTAATTCTGACACAATTGTGACTTATGAAGCTATGTATCAAAGTTATAATTCAACATTACTCTGTTTGATTTGAACAATGACTGCCCTCTTTGAATTTGATGCAACATGTGCACTCTTACATAACTTATCTCTGATCATTTTGTTTTAAAACATTTTAACAAAAATGTTTCGATTGTCTATTTTCTTCAATCTGAACAGTAAGATTGTAAATAATATCAACATATGGCTACTATACAAATAGTACTCATTTTGTTCAACATAAAACAAACTACACTACAAATTAATGGCACATTATACATCACAATTAAGTTCTTACTCTGAACTATAAATGGTAATTATCTAGGTATAACTTAACAGCACTTAAGATCAATTAAAATGAATGCTAGCAACTGACATGATGAGAGCACATAGGATATGCATATGATGAAAGCACACCAATCATGATTATTTGTAATGAAGTCACACAAAACATCATCTTTTGTAATGAAGTCACACTAATCATGATCATTTATAATAAAGCAACACCAATCATGATTTTCTGTAATAAAGTGACACAATGATTATTTGCAATGAAGTTACACAAATCATGATTATTTGTAAGGAAGAGAGCCAATTATGATTGTTTGCAATGACAGCACACCAAACATGATTAATTCTGATGAAAGCACACCAATTATGATTATCGAAAGTAAATGTGTGTGCATCATTAAATGATTTAATAGATATAAATAAAATACTGAATGCACATCATGCATGATTATCTATACAGCAGTTATGTGTTGTTTTCTGTCTCACATAATATTATATTGTACAAGTAGTTAACTATACACAAGACCCTGGCTCCTGGTGTGAAATACAAACAGTTTTATATAAATACTATAGGTTTACATATCTGATTGAGGCACATTATAGATTGTCATGATTTACCCTTGTGTGATCACTCTCCATCTGAACTGATTGTCATCCAAACAAGCTGCACCAAATTAACATGGTACATGATTGATTGAATTTTGAATTATTCAAATTTGATAACTTTAAAAATATCAATATTTGAGGTATGATTGATATGAGTGAATGTATTAAATGAACTTTGTCAGCTATTCATCAACCTGTTCTTTAATATCATTTCACATTTCATAATTCGTTTGTAGAACACAGCTGTTTTAAATACACGTAGCTGTATGACAATCAGCTGTTAACAGCAGCTTCAATACAAGTAACACACTTTTCTGTACATATTTCAAAATCTAAAACTGTATCTATGGTCTGTCTCTACAACATTATTGATAGTAGGCTTATATGTACACAAAGCTCTCTCAACTACAATACTGCTCATATACATTCTCATTTCAGGCAAGTTTTAACATGAGGTTCTTAATATTGGACTCTTATTGACATCAAAACTTGATGCAATTTATATACATTTTGAATATTTGAATTATGACCCCATAAGTCAAGCATATACTTAACATATTTTCAAAATGTTTGATAACATGTGATAAATGTTTTGATTGGCAGATTGAGGGTTTGGCGATGGGGTAATAAATGCTATAATTGGGTCCTTTTCCACAGCTGCTAGGGCCAATTGATTACTGGCTTGACTGCAAGTTTGATCATTAAATCCAAATATCAGACATTGTGCGCAGCTTATGACCATGCAGGTCACTTTCTCATGTTAAATGTGAGCACAACTGATATGACTGATATCTGTTTACAAGTATAGTATATGTATCACCAAGGTGACTATCACCTAAACGTCCTTGACTTGATCTCTAATATAAATAACATAATACTTGTCCATAGTAGTACTGAGGGGTAATAATAGGTGGCCCCACTGCTGAGGGGGTGGACAACAGGGTTACGTAGGGTAGCCGTCATCAGAGAAGATAGTGGCATATAGGAAAGTATGGTCGGACTTCTAGATTCTATTAATGAAACTATCCTCTCAGCTTCTGTATTGCATGCCTCGATCTGTAACATAAATTAAACAATGTAAAATTTCTTTATAAAGACAAGCCTGGATATGCTGGGATATTCAATAAACAGGGTGGCCATGAAGAATGGTAACATAGTACTTAGTTCATCTATTTAAAAGCCATAAAACCCATTAAATAAGAATTTCCAGAGAGAATTGTGTCAGTTTTGTTTGCAATTATTTCTGCCCACAATGTATGACATACATTTCTTCAGTCTTCAGTTCTTTGGTTCACTGAAAGGGACAGAATTTATTGGAGAGCTCCATCAGCTCATTAGCTGTCTATATATATTTCAATAAAACATCTAAATAGTAGCAGTTTAAACATATTAAGAAAACATTCAACAGTACCTGAAGTCTGGTAGGCTTGAGAGTGATAGGCATGATGAGCACTACAATATCAGTCTCCACACTGAGGTAGCCAAACACCTCACATTCCTTGGTGGAGATCAGCTGCGACAGTGCCTCCGTTACATTCTGCACTGTGATTGGTCCAACTTTAGCAGCATGAGAAGCAAGATCTGATTGCGTCTTACTGTACAGAAGACGGATTTCACTTGCTGAAATACAATATAAGATTATTTTCTCAGTGTTATAACATTATACATATAGGTAATCAGTTCTTGTAATGGATTATATGATTTGAATCGTATATTATGCAGATCTTATACAGATGACAACTACCATTTAGTCTTCAACTTCAAATATGACTACATGCATAGACTGCATACATGCATGAAGTTGCATCTAAAATAAAAAGCTGCATGGATTTGTGAAAAACAAATATGTGATCCAAATGTAAATATGTGATATCTTTTGCCAGATGTAACATTACTAATACATACCACAAATGGGACAGCATGCCCCTGGTGGTGTAATAGCTGCACAGTGTTCCACTGGCAGCACAGGGCAGTCTATGCCCTCAAAATAGGTGTCTCCACCATCTAGGGCTATTGTACCCACAGCCTTACATTGTCCCTCATAGTCAACTGCCACTCTCTGGCCCCAAGCAGAGCATTCATTAGGGTAGGTGACCCCATCATGACCACATACTTCCCCCACCATGTTACATGTATCCTAAAGTAAAAGAAAAAAATACTAGCTTAACATCATTCCATTACTTTTAATGAAGCAACAATATACATTGAAATATCAAAATAATTAAATCTCTGACCAAATATTTTGAGACGTTTTCAGATTTCTTCAATGCAGTGGATCTGAGGTCATTGATATTGACAGATGTGTCCCATACCTTACAGTGCCCTCTGTGGGCAAAGTCTTTCCCTGAAGCCCAAAGCTGACATATGTTGTTGAACTCTATCCTTCCTACACTGCATACAGGGTCATGGTGGTGTCTGTTACACACTAGGGACAGGGACACTGTAACATTACAGAAACAATACCATGAGAAATTGGGTGTTTAAAAAGTGTTAATGTTTTCAGAAGGTGGTATTGGACAATGCTGTGTAAATCTAACAAACTTGTCTGCAAATAAATTAGGATCCTGTGAGAACCCTATTCTCTAGTGCCATTTTTATAGTAGTGTAGAAAGGCACAAAAGATGTCATCCATGTATGGATCTAAAATTTAAGATCTCTATATAGGAGCTATCAAATTGTAAAGAACATATTTGTTTTTGCCTATATAAGGGGTATCTATCCATACAGGATTCCTCACTACATATGTGCACTTACCACACTCATACTGTTTGCAGACCTTAGAGTCAGTGCTCAGACAAACTCTCCGCCTCTCCAGGCACTTGTAGCTCCGCCCACATGGCTCCCGCTGACAGGGATCATAGTCCTTACAAGCACCACGTAGAAAGTCTATGTTACCGGAGCAACGTGCCATACATTCACTGGGATAGGTACGTCCATTAGCTCCACACACTGGGTCATAAATAGCTGGACAATTACAGGGTAAGCCTACAATGTGTAAAGATTGAGATGTTTATTTTATCATGATTGGTTTAGTTTGAAGTTTTTTAATTTTCAAAGCTAAGAGGTTCCAGTGTAGTGGAAATGCATAAGTGGGTGTTTTAATTTTCCAAGGTCTATTAATATATCTGTCACTACACTAAAATTTTCCATTAACAAGTACACTATGAAATGGCTATAGGCAAGTAATAACATGAAAATACATGTTGATTATGGGGGTAGTACCTGAGAGTCCATCATTGGATGAGTGTACAGGTGAACACTGTCTCTTGCTACAGATCACCTCCCCAGCCTGACACACACATCTGTTACACCCTGTATGGAACTTACTGCCGTGATCTGGAATATAGCATTAGATATGATACACTCTGTATTAGAAATTATTGCCATGATCTGAAATATAACACAACAAAAATGTGTCCCAAAAAAGTACTGGAGTTGCTCTTTTACTGCCATAATTGTATTAATAACTGCATTTGAGAAAATATTAAGAAATTATTTGGTTAAAAATCTAGATTTTCCTTGAAAGTTTCAATTACAATTCATTTGCTAATAGCAAACCAAAGGGAAAAGTGTACAATAAGACAGGGAGAAAAACAAAGGGGGATATTTCCTATAATGCCAGTGTTCGTACCATGTATGTGTCCTGCACCTACAATACAGCTGTCATGTTTGGTGCACTTCATGGACCTGCAGTGCTCCAGCCCCTTCCTATGGCCACAGCGACACACTTTATGACAGTTGGCATGGCTATTACTGGCAGGTACACGCACATAAGAGCCCACAGGAACTGTAAACATGGATACCTCTCCCACTTGGCAACCTGAAAGGTAATAAATGTGTAACATGTGATTGAAAATGTTGACCATAGAAAAGTGTAACAATTGTTACAGATGGTGAATGCAGTGGCTATAACAATATGTCATCAAGCAGACAGACAAATTTGTTATAGCCATGATGACTATCCAAAGTAGCCAATCTGTTTTGTGGCTAGTTCATAAAATTTAACATTTCAGAACTAGAACTTGCTTCCTGAGTAAAATCATACAAAAACAAAGGCTACAATTCACGATCATTCATGTCAGTTTTCAATGTACCAAAACCTCTCAAACTAATTTCTTTCAGGGATCAAATATGTAACAAACAAATCAATGAGATGTACCTACCTTGTTTACAGAGGTAAGGTTTGCAATTTTCTGGGTGCTTGCACTTGTGTCTATTCACTACACAAACATGACTGTTGTTACATGGGTTTGGAGAACATGGGTTGGTTACCTCTCTATGGTGAGCTCTATGAGGACTAGGCACTGCAATTGAAGAACACATTGCAATAACAAAAAAGTAGTTCTTCTCTAATAACCCGACCCTTTAAGGTGAACCAAAACAAATAAACTAAGGTATATCATATTGGCTAGATTTATAATGTCATACCTTGCAATCAGGCAAATCAGAATTATTTGGAGTATTGAAAATAAGCAATATGGTAATCCTATTCCTGGCTTGAAACTGTAATAATGACATGATAACCAAAAGGTGGTATGATTATGAATGAGTCATGTGCTCAGACAGCAATGTAAGTGTAACTCTCATCTCTTAGTTCTAATCAAAATTATTGAAATGAGGTACAAATTCAAAACTTGAAGTAACTTTCTTGTACACACACCTATATATTGAGAAAGTGATGTACAGGGTTTATTGTCATCTATTTCAGGTGATAATGTAGCACAGAGCTCCTCAGCAGATTTGTCAGGTGAAAGCTTACTCCAGTCTACACACTCACTCAGTATAGAGATACAGTCAGATCTGAAATCACAAACATTTGTTATATGACTTCAATGAGTATCATCTCCAACACAGGCAGAAAGTCTATTGAAAAGCGACATTTCTTGTTTTTTATTTATTTATTTCCCTTTATACAAGTATGAGTGCACATACAGTACATTTCTGTGCCTGATATATTTCTACATTCTTCATCATATTCTAATGGGTACAACATTAGAAATTGTTGTAGAATAGGTTTGTCAGGTTGCAATGAACTAAAACGATTTTAGAGACCAAGTGGTCTACCCATGTGTGTATTACCCCTCCCAAGCTATAACCTCTACATGAATCAAGTTCCTGGAAATATGATTGGAACAGGGACAAATGTTCATCTCTAAATTCTCTAAACAAAGTCAAAATTGAAATCCATTTCCTTTAAATCACAGGCTAAAATTTTAACATGTTTTGACTTTCAAAGAAATTCACACTGGTTTGTGGTAAATTTCTCAAGTTCTCACCTGCATATAAGGTTAGTATGTGTACTTGAGTGGCAGGGCTTCACTTGGAGAGCACAAGCTATAGCCTTCCACATGTCTGGCTGGCATTGCTTGATATCTACAACATAACATTACAATATCTACATCATGCGTATACTGCAATATTTCAGGTAGAGACTGCATTATTGATAAAAACTCCTCAAGAAATGTGTTGAAGATCGATGTATTAAGTTGAACGTACAAACATTTTGTTGTCACTTAACAACAAAGAAACAGTTGATTTAAATCATTTGACATAACTCTACATAATGATAATGCATAATGAAATATTGATATGCATATCATCAAAACTAACTTGTACTTTATGCCTGCAGGGGTGTAAAATATGATGGAGCTCACTTTGGACCACCCCATTCTGCTATCAATTTGTCTATGATATATTTAATCAGCTGCTTTTAATTAAATCCATGTCTAACTTACTTTTTACAGGAATGTTCATCAGGGGAAGATATATGATGCCATCTTCCCACTTCAGCATATCTTCACGTGCATTCTTGTCAGCACGAGCGTTGCAACTGCGGAAGAGACTGCTAGGACGGTAGTTAAAGTTGGAGCAGTAATTCAATCCACTGCAACCCATTTGGCAAGGTTCCTCAACTGTAGAACATAAAGTACAGCGTTACGTTTACATGACAACCAATTGTTCTATATTGGTGTAGATAAGTGAAGTACAATTACTTGTACATATGCACCTACACAGCTTCAAGTTGGGATTCGAAAAATATGAATATTATGTTAGTCAAATTGACAAACAATTTGCTCATGTTTGGAGCATTGCAATCTAAGTTGGAAATAAAGCTTGATTTCATTTTATTTTCATAGATTCTTGCCATGATTATATGATGATAAAAGAACTTACTTTCAGTTAAGCACATATTAAGTTCCACCTCATTAGGGCTGAACTGGCACTCTCTGCTGAAGGAATGCCAGGTCTGGCTCCAGTGACGGGTGTAGGTCTGAAAGAGAAACATTTCATTGTTTATACCCATACACTTTAAGAACAATGCATGTACAATGAAAATGGATGAATTTAACTCTAAACCAATTTTACATATCAGTCTGTAGTGTTTTGGACATTTGTCATGGGTACCATATTACTTTATCTCAAAAACAACTGTGCAACATAAATTGATCACAAATCTGAAGTCTAAATATATTTGAGGAATATAAATCTCATATCTCCATATAAAATAGAGCTTGTATCTCTGATATTCCATTCTGCTTTCTTACCATAATGTGATCTCCTGGATAAAACATGGTACAACATTTCTCTATACAGTTTTGAGTACATGATTTTTCTGATATATAATCTGACTTATTATATATGTAGACGTAACCAACAGTATGTGTCAGGTTAAGGTGAATTGCAGACAAATGCTTCTATATCTATCTCATTATCGTATTTACCCTGACACAGAGGTCTCTACATTTTCTTGAGGTGGCTTTCCCACAACACTGCAGTTTGGCAGCATCCAGGACCATATTGGACACTGCTCCCCTAGCAGTCTCATCTCTTGCACTAGTGTCACTGGACTTGGTCAGGAAACACTGCCACATAGGGTCCTAAAATAGTCAATCAGGAAATGTCCAAATACATATACGTAAATAGCCTAAATATAAAACATTGACACATATTGAGGAAAATTTTTCAGATTTAATCAATAAGATATTGCCATATTAGATCAACACTGTAAAGGAAAGGTACATAACAATGTCAACTTAGATCCTATCATATAATCAAGAAATCCTAGGTCATGCAGAACAGACAATAGGCATATATAGTGACAAATGACAAGGCATTAACGTGCAAAATGTCACCACCTGCCATTTATTACAGAATCTGAATGCCAACACAGGAACGTCAACTCAACTTCCATTCACCAACAGCCAAACACTGACCAAACAAATTGGAGCCTACTAACATGTCACCAACAATTATGGTGGCGATATAAACGAACCAAAGATAGGATTCTCTTTTTTCTATTGCTCAACTCACCATGGGTAAAGGGTCCCCACAACTTTTGATTATTTCTTCCATGATCTCTTGCTCAGTGGTTAGGGTGACTAGAACGGTCTCACAGGTTTGGCGGCACACAGGAGTAGCAGCCTTCTCACAACAAGGGAGACCTGCAGCAAAGAAAAAAATTCTCTTTTATTAATCCATGAAAGTCCAGTCCATGAAAAAAATATAAGACATACATATATGTATCATATATAAATCAAATATGTATCAATTGCTGTCACTAAGGTTTCAATGAAACATCAATTTAATAATGAACTTCAAAGTATATGCATGTATTTTATAACATTTTGACCTCATTTCTTTCTACTTAATATAATATTTCAATCCTCTTACAGAGCCAGATTAAATTCTACAATTGAGAATGAGGTTTGATATTTTGATAATCTTTGACTATTGATATAAGTTGTTTGTTTAAAATCCAATGTAAAGCACTTCTATTTTCACACCTGGATCCCATTGCAAGCTTCGATTGAGAATTTCACAAAAAGAATTGAAATGAGAAAAATTGGCGTAACTCAGTAAACAAATTATCAATTTATGATTCAGAGAAAAATGCAATAAAACATTGTGATATTGACAGATTGGGCTAAGGTAATTTCAATAGCAAACAATTTTTTATCTGGATTTTATCATATGGGCGTTAATTCTTCAAAAAGTACAATGCTGAAATGACGGCTGAGGCTTAATAGAACTCCTAAATCCTGGCAAAATTTTCGGAGCAAAAATGATTCATTTTTTATTAGTTAATTTGTGAATAACTCTTAAAATAATCTTGCCTGAGTCTAAATTATTCAATGGATAGTCCCAAAAATATTTCATGAACTGACACATGATACAGTATCAAACCAAATTTTATTGAATTTTCATTTTATCTAATGAAATTAAATATAATGAAACTGTTTATTAAATTACAGCATAATTTATATGCATCACTTTTGGTAGATCTATCCTTATGGAAACTTGATACTAATGAAACATAGGGATAGCGATTGGGTTTTAAACAAATTAATGAATTTATTTCTGACACTTTAATTCAATTAACAAGTTCCTAGTCATGTGCTAGCTTAACCCAAAACCAAGCCTAAAATCAAAGAAAATTAAATCACGAGTCGTATTTCATTAACCTCAGATTGTAGTTCTATGTTGTTATAATCACTGAAAGTTCATTGGTGCTAATTGTCGGTCTTGCTCCGTGACAAACCTAATCACTTGATTAAGTTTTGCGGCTCAAATAATATGAACTCAATTAAAAGTTGAATTAAAAAGGACATGGAAAAATAATTCTTAAACTGAGTTTCTAGATGATTTGGGTAGCAACTGACGGACCATTTCAAAAATAATTAATACAGAAATGAATATTGGTATCAAATTCTCATAACAAAATAACATGTCACAACTTATCTCCACGCTTCTGTTACAATCTGCTTGTCTGTGTAAATGTTTCCCCGAAGGCGTAAAATGTGAGACTGAAAATCTGCGCTCTTTGACTCCAACAACAAACAGAACGGGGCAACCAAGAGAGAACATGTGGATAGATTTATACAAGGTTTCATCTGATTTACACCTGCTTGAAATCTAAGTCTTCAATACCTGACAGCATAACAGAAATAGAAGATACTGCATGTATTCTGAATTCACATATCAATTTGAGATTGAATAAAAGGAGGTTATTTCAGGCTAAATTCACATTTCTGACTTATTTTCAATGTTGTATTTAAACATGCAATACTTTGAATATCAAAATAGCAATTAACTAAAGTAAGTCAACTCCTACTTTTTAGTTTTGACTCTCATCTAAAGGTAATGAGAGCTTAGCATAGTTTCACTTGGCTTATCCCTTATTTTTAGAATTCAGAGGTTATCCAAGACAGAGGGCAAAGTAAAAAGGTGAGCATCAGTTTTATGGAGTGTGATAGTAATGCTATCAGGTGATATTTAATCCCAGCAGGATTGTAACAGTATGTGTAAAATTGAATCTAATGTAGAGAAGTTACAGCACTGAAATTGTTCTCAGATGTTTCCTGTCTATGATGAAACACCAGGAATCAGCTCAAATTATCCATAGATTGAAAATGTTCTTGTTAATACAACTAAATCAAAACATAGGATTCCTAGTAAACTGAGATAAAATTCCTCTTGATTCTTGAGTGAAAACAGTTATCATTTACTGAATAAGAATTAAATGAACTAAACTGGAATAAAATATAAAATGGAGGAGTGTGTTTTAGGAAGTTAACAAGATATGAGAATATAGGATTTCAACAACATATTTTGTCATTTGGTTTTCATAAGAATGCAAATTTTAAACAATTCCTATCAATTACAATCCCCTAAATAGCAGGATACAAGACATCATTCTCATTTAGCATAACTAAAGAAGATTCACTCAGGCATGAAATAAGGCAACACGCGAAATGTCACCACCTGCCATTTATTACAGATACCGAACACCAACCACCGCCACAAAAAAGTTGGAGACTGTAACAATATGTCACCACTTGTGGTTGTGATATGTTATTTCATCTCATTTATTCATTTATTTGTTTGATATGTGTAACTTATTTCTTACCTTTATGAGGGTTGTGAGCTGGTGTGGTTCTCGTGTAGTTTTGAACACATTGGGTGATATGACGATTGTCCCGGCAGAGTTCCTGCACTGCATTGCGTTCCTCCTGCGATGGAAGGAAATCTTTCAGAAAGATGTTGCGACAAACAGCACTGCATTGTGGGCCTGAGGCGGAGAGACAACATTCGTCACTGGCTGCAACAGATAGAAAATTCAATTTTCATGTATTTACTGGCTATCCAAGAATTAGTTGAATGTTTACAATGATGGATGTCATTTTTAATACAGCAATTGGTGAAGCCAGAATTGCACTTGTTTTTAAGATAGGGAACACTCTTTGAATTTTCATGAACTACATGTAATAATGTTTTGGTTGAGCATATTTCACATATACAAAAATGTCAATTAAAATTCAATAAAAAATACAATAAACATCTTGAAGTGTCAACTTTAAGCTGGTCAACAGCTATTGGGTAAAGGTTCAAGTTCTCTTTTGTCTCACAAAGAGTCTCACCATAAGACATTCACAAGTTTGAGGTGTGGTTGACACGACTAGGAGCTCACTTAATGATGCTATTGAGACACTGCAATGTCACATACAAATCTCAACCTGTCATATTGTCATATACGAGTGACACTTCAATATCAGTGTTAAGTATCATTTCTTTATCTTTATATAGCATTGAAGGTGATAAAGATGTTTCTGAGGTGGAATTCTCATAAACTAAAAATGGTTATATGTGCTACTGATGATAAAGGTGTATCCAATCACACCTGCTTCCAACTCCTATCTCAGATATCAGATCATATCCACTCAAAGAAATTTTTAATATCATCTGGGATAGAATTCTAAAAAGCACTGCACTGTAAAACAATACAATAAAGCCTTCTTAAATGAATACTGCTGTTTTAACTAAATGCCAGAAATGTTCTCATCCAGAGGGTCTGATAATAAAAAGGGTATCCATATGACAACATGGGTATCCCGAACATGGGTATCTGTATGTCATTGGGTATAAGAATTGAAAAACGTGATATAGGGTATTCACTTTCATGTCACAGAATCACAGATACAGGTTTCACTTTATCTTAAATTGAGGATTCAATTAATCCATTTAATGATCTTTATTATAGAAACACAGTATATACTTCTGTTATACTTATAGATTGTATAGTCTTTTTACAGTTGTCCGATTAGCCATATTCACTGTATGTTGAACATCATGTACAACAAAAATTCAACATATTTCTGTCAACGTTACTGTCAGATTTGACATCTTAGTCCCAATGTTAAAACAAAGTATATTGTTGAACAAACACAGGCTGATGGCTATATATTAGTCCATAGACTGGAGCTACTGGATACGCAGATGTACAATACAGTAGCACTGCAGTACCTGGGTAAATGTCATTGTTTTGTCTCTATGTTTACAACTGAGGTGTCAAACAATAGAAAAGATAACTTTTAAGATATCCCTAAAACAATTTATTTTGACTGGAGAGTAATTATGTTGACAGGCTGTTGTGTTACTATCATCATTATCTAAAATCATGTTTAACTTGACGTATATGAAATCTTCAGCATGGCAGTAGTATGCAGTACTTGTAGAAATCAAATAAACTATGAGAAATCACCCATATATCTGTTCATCGAACTATGAGACTTAAACTAATTTCATAATTGAAAACTTATTATTAAATTCCTAAAAAAAATGTCTGAACTTGACAGGGATTATATTGCAGATACATGTAATATATAATAAATATAGAGTTAAAATAATAAACAATTGTATCTTCCATCTTCCCAAGAACCAAACAATTTGAACAGGTATACACTATACACTTCTTTAACATGGGCTGCATCTTTAAATCTTGTATTTACACCTGTTTTAGCAAGTTAACATAGGTTTTCAGTGAAGAATGTACATGTCAATCAAATAACATGAAGTTACAGGCAAATATTATGTCGACGCATCACAATTATAGAGAACGGAGAACATAAAACATGATCAAAGTTAACATAATAAACAACATTAAGGGCATTCAGGTTTTTAAAGGTGCAATACCTTAGAAGCTTTCATGTCAAATATTTAAGCCAAATACTGGACTGGGAACATAGGGGATACATCTACCTATTTTTAAATAATTGAAGATGGATGAGAGTTTTTGTATGATTAGTGTTATAAGGGGGAGGAACCAGTTACCATCAAATCTATTCCATAAAAAATCCAATTATCTAATTAAATTCTGCAAATTATGATGTATACTAAACATAGCTATGAGATACACATATTCCAGGTATCTGTTGATAATTTGCATTACCTGTAATTTGTGGAATTGTGTTGGCAAGGAGTTTATAAACAAACAGAGATATGATCCAGTTGGTATAATAGGCCTATAGGTTATGGCAGATGGTTAAATAGTAAACCATCTTTCTGTTAACTTATACCTATGTACCAAAACTACAAAAATGAAAGGTTTACTGTACTTGTAATGTAAGCCATACTACAACCCCCTGCTTTGTAGAGTAATAAAAAAAATCGCAATATAATAAAAAATACCTTAGTAAACCATATCAACCTACAAAACCAATTTTCTAAACAAGACCTATAAAGTATATACATGTAAAGGGGAAAGAAAAAAGTTTTTTACATACTTCAGAGTGCACCTAATTCAAAAGAGCATAACCATTCATAAGGAAAACAATCCCCCAATATCCAAAATATCTAACACACAAAGAAATGATGTCTAACATATCCTTTATATACCAAATGCCTACCCTTTACCTAGTGATTATATACCCTACACTGTATATGCCCTATACTGGATTATATGCCTTACTCTAGATTATATGCCCTATGCTGGTAAACTGACCTTGTTGTCTGTCAATGCAGCTAAAAAACTGCATCTCATCACTCTGCCTACATCTTGTACCAAGATCATTCCTTGAGTTACCCTGGAAACACACAATCAACATAACATTCATTAACTTAAATATATCACATATAAACTTGTACATGTATTTGTCAGCATTGTCTGAATAAATGACAAAATTATTCATTTTTTAGTCTGTTGTCATGCAAGTCATTGTGCTCTCTTCCCAAAGTACATGTAGATATTTAGAAAGTATGAGACTCAATTTTGCAGTATGTGTCTACTATTCTCACTAATTCTATCAAACTCCAGTTGCTATGTGTAAAGATTTATCATTATCATGGCTAAGGCAGAGGGCTATGTTCAAAGGCTCACGGTATCAAGAGTACCATGAACTGGTAAAAAAACTTCACCAGAATGAGAAACCAAAATTTATTTCAGCACTTTATTCATATTTAGTATAAATTAAGCAATCATTTGCTTAAGAAAAGTCTGACCTTCAAAATCTGCAATCCTTAAATAATAAATATATTCCATTTCACAACTCTAATATCAGATTGCACATATCTAAGATATTCAGCATATCATTTCCTCTGCTCACACTCTTTTTAATCAATTTTGATAATGCCAGAAATCCAATCTAAAAACTTGGAACCAGATCTGAATGTTGACACAACATACCAAAACACTGAGACAGACGTTTCTCTGCAAAGTTTAAAGCGCAAACTTGATAAAAGCCAGGTATATTTTTAAATCAAATTCATCTAGATTTAGAATATTAAAGGGAGTCTTCTCACCATATGGAAAATGTTGTAGGAGTATTTCAATGAAAATAGAGCAATATTACACCTGCTTCTATACGCAATATAGTAGAATTCAGAATATACATACCCTCCCCATAGAAATTTGCATTTCTGCGATTTCAATACGATTTCGCAAATTGGTTGTCATTCGCCATTGGGTGTTATTTAAATCACAAAATCTTATTTGCAAAATTTTGATGAAGAAAATGCAAATTTCTAAGGAGACAGTATATAGAACCCCTGTACAAACCGATGCACAGCTTATAAATTTAGCCCCATATAAATTTGTTCATTCCTGGTGCTGTGCCTTAATCTGTACCTAATTTACCTATATAATAGGATCTGGGATGGGGAGATTAAGGTGATATCTCCTCCATCAGTCTACCTGTATAATACATCCCTACATCCCGAAAACACATTGTGCAATGAAAAAATTTCCAAGCCAAGGCTGATTAATACAGCAAATGTCCAAACAACTCAATTTGACGCCTTCCTGTTTTTTCAATCACCGATAATTCAATGAACAATCTTAGAAAAACAGCAAAGTAAACTCTGCAGTCTTTTGGGAGCTAATAATAGCATACATGATATTTACTTTCTTCAGCGGGACCACATGTAAATATACCTCTGATGCTGCTGCCACTTTTTACTCATTATTCCTTGTTATTATAAGCCAACTTCTTGACTTTTTGATGCAGAGGGCCAATTTGCAATTGGAGGCGTTAAATTCTCCTGCAAACATATGTTGTTGGGTTGCACTGGGATAGATATAGGATACCATCTCAGATTGTGTTTCCCAGGAAACTGGTTTGGATAAAGACATTTTGAGATTAGAAGTTTGGTTCATTCTTATTTCAGTAGAGGATTTTCTGCTCAGGTACATTTAAAAAGTAAATAATCCTGATATAATACTCGCACAAGAGAACACTTCTGGCCAGAAAACAACTTACTCTAATGAACCCATCATTCCATTGAACATTTCTCCATTGAATGAACACCTCAGGTAAAACAGCCTTACAATGGACACATCCAGTGAACACCTCTTTCCAATGGCATTAATCTCTGCTGAACATCTTTCAGAAAAATCAAAGCAGGAGTTTATGACACATTTTACAATGGGAGTGTACAGAATTCAACCAGATGTGTTCAGTGAGTCTACAGAGCAGCTATCACAAGATAAACTTGCAAACAACTGAAGTAACTAACACTACACCTTACAGCTATATGCCTCACTTCATCAACATTTCAACAAAACAACCAACAATAATATTGGCATAGATACAGAAATTCAAAGTGAAAAATCATGTAGAAAAATCTACAATTTGAAAGCACCAAAGGTAAAATTTTCGATATCACAATAACAGCAAAGTGACAATAGCTTGGGGCAAATACATGTGAAAATCAAAATAAAATATCAAACGTGCCTTTCTCAAATGTTGGAATTCATTAACACATGATACAAAATTTTGCACTTCATCACAGCAAGAATATGATATACCAGAGTGAGAAAAACAAAAGTTTCCAAGTGATTTATACTTTGTATTGATGGGCAATCAGAGGTTCAAAGCATTAGGTTCAAAGCCTTTGGAGTCTTTGTGCAAGTGTAGAGCATAGCCTATTACCTTTACCAATACATTCTTAGCCTTCATCAATAGATACAACAACAATTAGCACACAACCAAAGGCATGTTTATCTGATGTTTTCAACCTTCTTCCTTTTCCCAGTTTTTAAGTATGTACAAGTGTGTTTGAGTTCATAGGAAGCTTTGTTATCATAGCAGAGTAGGTGCCAGTTGAAAGTTGACTAAGGAAGCACTATGTTTCCCTTTGATCTTATGTTCTTCTTTAAGCCTACCATCATCATACAAAAGACTTGTCCAGTTCACTTAAGTCTATTCTAATAAGTGGCCCAAGGGCAAAAGATTGATCTAAATACAACAAAAATCAAAGGACTATCTCAAACTGAGGAAATTCTTGGGGCATGGCAGTGCATGGACCGAAATGGACATTATATGAAGCTTCATCATCATGACACCTAATTTCTTCTCAGAATTGTGATATTCTGGTGAAACACATGATGTTTGAGTATCAAGGTACATTGAAATTCTCCATATAATTCCAAATGCTCAGATTGAAACAATTTAAGACATAATAGGTTCATTGGATGAGGTATTATTTACAACAGTCCCCATTTAATTCAACAAGATACCAAACTTACAACAACAGTTTTTAAAATATTCTGCATCAAATATAGCAAAACAGTGAAGAAACACTCTGGTTCTTGACTGCATACAGAAACAATACACAACTTTAGCACTTGATCAAGTGTTTTTGGAGGCTCTTGAAGCATGCAATTATCTAGCCACAATATAGACCTTTATGTCTTATATAGCTCTAATATAGGTTATCCTGAGAATGAATAATAGTAAAAAAAAGTTTAATATTAAACATTAAATATTAAACATTGGGTGAAAAATTCTACATTCTGTCAACTGGTAAGATGACACTGGAATAGGATATATTTTTCATGTATCTGTATAAGCTTCACCTATCTAAAACTTCTCTGATTTTGCCAGCTGCATCCCAGAGCATAATACACCATCAGGCTTATAGTTGGACTTGGTTAACCAAATGGACAATTTGGAGGGTGTCAATATACAGCAAAGTTTGTTTTGGTAAACCAGTGAACAATTTGAAATGTCATCAGGAAAGAAATGTTGTTGGTCTATTGTAACATATGTAGGCTGTCACTCAATACCAAATCATACCAGACCTCTAGGCCAAGCAAAATAACCTGCCAGGTGTTTGTTTTACTCTTGTCTGTATTTTTAAGACAGACTGTCACATCTTATCTTGACTTAATGATCTTTAGATTCAAATTTCAAAATTCAGACAAACAACTAAGTTAAAATCTGGCATGCAATAAATCACAATTTATTTTATATGACAATTATATATTTTAAGATGTCATACGTTCAGACAGCCTTTAATGATCTTGTTAATCATCATAAAAATGCAAATTATAAATATTTCAACAAGGTAAGTTCTATAGTGAATTTGCATTAACATCTCAACAACAAATTATATGTATAATAAATAAATTGAATATTTTACTGTAAGGTGTGCCAGAAAGAGCAAATTCCTGTATAATGTCAGTCACCAACTGAGCAGACCTCTGTGTGACACTCACTCCATCAAATATTTGATACCTGCTCCTAGGGATACTTAGGTGGCCCAGAATGTATGGTGCTATATGCCAACTAGCGGTCACAGCATCCACATGTTGGCAAATCATCAATTTGTCATCATACGTGGCTATGTCAGAATGACCTTGCTAATTACAGGGAAGGTCAGTTTTCTGTCAGAGTTAACATGCCACATACAGGGTGAGGACATAGCCACATTCGGTGTGTGGAATGCTAAACATTGTTGGAGCTGCACATTTTGGACATATTCGGACAGGAGGGCCATCATTCAGTAGACCATGAAATGTGTCTCTCATATCTATTCATCTTGGACAACTTGCTTCGAATAAAATTAAACTTTTCATTTCAATTTTCTCTCTAGTACATGAGGAGGAAAGATTATTACTCTAAATGCTCCTGATTAAAATTAATTAATTTTGGCAGGCAAATTAATTCATCTACTTGAGGAGTGAGATTTATTGAATCGAGTAGGAGTGATTTCCTAAAGTATTATGACACTCACCATAAGGCTATGTCTAAAGTATGACTAGAGGCTTTAAAGGGAGACTCAGACACTAGAGTACCAGCCAGTTGCCAGAAGCCAAAATAATGACTCATTTATTGTTCAAAATGAGAACTCTTTACAAATCATCTTTTATCCTAAATGTACATATTCTTTTATGTCCTTGAAAATATTATATCAATCAAGTCAGGATTAAATGAAGGTTAAACCAGGAAAATATAGGTATACATGTGTCCAATTATAGAACATACATATGGTGAATATGATTGTTTGAAATAATTTGTTATTGCTCTGAGAGAATGGATTCCATTTTTCTGAAAGCTTCCCCATGTCAATCTACAGGCTTTGACACTTGTTTGTGCTAGATGAAATACTACAGGCTTCTATCCTAAAGTATTACAAACAAATACTGCCTTAGCCACCAGGTTGAAAATGTCTTTTAATTCTGCAAGGTTACCCTAGCTCTTTAAAACACCTAATTTTTCATTTCTAGCATTTTGTTTTTAAATAATTCAAATTGTTCATAACCACATGTCTAATTATTTCATATCTCCTCAGTTCCGCAGTTTCTGAGTCATTTTTTTGTTTTCAAACTTCCTGACAGTGACACTGTTAGAACATCACAAGACACTGTCAGCTGGTAGCACAATATATACATCTAGTATATATCCAAATACAATCATTTAAAGATTGATTACCCTCAAAGTCACCAAATATCCACACAAAGACCATCACTCATTTTTACATTTAGCTACATGTGAAAATGGAGTATATCTTGAAAGTAATACATGCATTCATCATATTTTCAAATATACTACAGGAGAAATCATTCCCACCAATGTCAACAATTTTGGGATGTGCTTCATGTGGGATGTGCCTATCATAAAGTCACCAAATTTCCACACAAAGACCCCATTTTAGCCATGATATGGAAATAGCTTGAACTTAATCTATTCAACATATTTCAAAATATACTATATGAGACACCATCCCTAACTACAGTCAATAACCTCCTGATGAGCTCATCCATACTAAAATTGAAGTCAAAGAGGAATATGCATTTTGCAAAAAATCATGAATTTCAAGCTTCAATACAGATTCTAAAAATGGTATAAAACCCCTGTCACAATATATTTCTATCTCATTGCAACTCAGATGAAATAAAACAATAATTTTTCATATTGGTATACAAACCATATCATGTCATAAATGCCACAGCATATCAGGTCATAAATACCTGTTTGATAGAGAGTGAGAGTACCATCTGAATTTATAATATACTGCGAAACATGTCATCAACTGCACAATGTGCAACGCAAAGGATTGTGCCATCAACCCTCATGTACCCTCTTCACATCAACACCAGGGGAAACAATGCATATTTCGACAAAATGTCACCACAAAATACAAAATACATTGAATGCCAAACACTGATACCATATGGTGGTCACAAAAATCTGTAATACATGAATATTCTTCATTCTTGTCCTCAAATGTAAACATGAGGGCAATATATAGTAAAGGGGTACCTCAGAGACTAGATGCAACACTGATACTCAGGGTAAGAAATTGTAATACTTACTGTAAGACATGCCTGCCTACAGTCACTTGAGAATGACAGATGGCAACAGAGTCGACCTGCCCATGGTGCATCCCCACTTACAACTGCAAATAGACAAAAAAATACAAAAATACAATGAATTTCAAGAAAATATCATAGAATAGATGTAATAATAAAAGTATTTATATGAATAAGCATAATTCTTGGTAAATGATTTTGCAAAAACTGGAAATGTGAGAAACAGAGAATCTACTAAGGTTGGACTGATACAACAGATGAAGCTCTGTTTCTGAAAAAATCCAGGGAAAAATTTGAACTACCTCAAGGTTCAAATTGGCTTATCAGTTTAGAAGTCTAGAATCTCATTGTCAGATAAACACTTCAGACAATGTCAGACAAGGTCTACCTCTGGTAACGTTTTGGTAATCAAGGGAATAAAATATGTGCCATGAAATGGACTATTGTTGAAAAACATGCCGTTCTGCCAGATAAGCTCTAACATTCAGATTACAGTCATTAGTTATTGTCAGAATTTGAAAATTTGATACTTTGATAGTTCAGCTAAGAACCCTCTGAGCCAAACAGGCTTAATGATATGTACTGGAAGTTGCTACAAGAGGTAAACTACTGGTATAACAGTTTGTACAAAGATTCTTTGGATAAGAGCTCAAAATATATATACAAACTTTACTCATTTCCCTATTTTGACAACTTCTTTGCTTGATTTGTTATTTCCATATTGACATGGTCCATTGCTGATCATTGATCTGGTTCTTTTATATCACATTTAACTGACAAGTCCAGAATAGGGATTTGACAGCTTTCATTAACCTCTTTCCTCAACCCTCAAAGGACATAAACTCAAATATCATATTTGATAATTCAAATTGTAGCTATTACCCTGTGCAAGAGCTTTTACTTTTTAGACTCTTTAAATAAGCATATAGTAAAACCTGTCTAATCCAAACACCTCTGGGACCATTCAAACATGTTCGGATTAGCAGGTGTTCATTTTGGTTTTATAAACATGTAAGTCAATGAAAGATAACAACTATGGGACCAAGAAAAGGTGTTCCCATTGAGAGGTGATTGGATTAGAGAGGTGTTCAGATATACAAGTTTGACTGTATATGTAATCAAAACATGCAGCAAGTAAATCATTATCCTCTATGTTCTACCTCTTAGTGGCTTTAACTACTATAGTTACTCACTACATTGAGATTATTAAGATCTTATCACCAAATCTTTTGTAGTAGTCAGAGGGAAGTGTAGATTGCCAATGGAGATTCAGAGTAGTTGCCTCTTGAGTTTAAATATCAATCTACTGGCATTCCTTCAAGTATTATTAAAGTTAATTTAATACAATCTTTGATAATGTTAGATTTTAACATGGGAATAAACCTCAAACAGTTTTTTGTGAATGTTTTTTCGTGAAACCTTCCCATGGGGATGGATGAGTGATTAAACACCTAATGGAACATGATGAGTTGATGGATTTGATACTGAAGGTGAAACCTTATGAGATTTGATAACTCAAATTTGTCTAAAAAGAGTAATGTAGCCATGGAATCACTAGGAATGCCCCTTATGAATTATTTAATGGAAAACTCATTAAGATGTCTGATAGGATAACTTGCCCTTGTGAGATAGGAGATTCAAAATATGTTTTACCATGCAACAGTTTACATATATGATGCTTTCAAAAATTGCACAAAAGTGAAAATGGGTAAAAAGTATCAAAACAAGTGAAATATACCAAAAATATTTGAAAATAGGTAAAAAGATATGTTCGTCAAATAAGGATAACAACCACGAGCAATGACAATGCTATCAAGGATCAATTCATCCTTTATAGTAGATTCAGACTAAAAAAACTGAAAATAGACGTACCATAATTCTTTTTTACAAAAAAACCCATCTGAATCATATTCTCGGAAAGTATATCCCAAATGACTGGTATCTGGAGATGTAATGAAATATTTCATATCTTCTAAGTGCCAGCAGGAGATACAAATGAGGCCAGGTGATTCCGATGTAAAAGTATCACAGCATAAAATACAGTAGTCCAACTCTTCCAGGTTGTTAATTATATAAAGTAAAAAGTATAGAAGAAGAGACAATATGAGGTAATCAGCGACAAGCTCAAATTTTTAATGACAAATAAAAGCTGGATGCCATGACAACCACAATGACATCAGTGATATCCGATGGCAATTTGGTTTAAAAATATTGATGTGTTGATTACATTTGCATTTTTTTGATTTTAGAGAAAGTGCGTAAAAGAACTTAACCTATATCCAGATATTTTTCTTTCTCAACAAATTGAACTGAATATATACAGATGTTTTATAATTTAAGTGTTCATGAGACAGTTTTATTGTTTTCCTTAGTTGGTTTGGCTCAAAGCATTAATTTTATGTTCTTTGTTTAAAACATAACAACCCAATTTATGATGGTGACATTTTTACTATGACTTTTACTGTACATTATACAAAAGTTAGAACCATGATGCCATTTCACTCTCATATATTTATTTAACAAACAGACAACTTCAAATCATATAATGGTTTGTTTAATTATATTTAAAAGCTAATGTTAATATTGTATATATCTGGATGTCATAACAAAAGATAACTTCAAACAGTACTTTGGACATATCAAGCAGTGATGCAGCTTGGTGATTGGTTGTATATAAACTAATGAAATGTTTGTGTAAGCGTGTGGCATTCCACAAGCAGAAACATCAACAAGTTCCACCTCTGTAATGATCATAAACATTGAACATTTATGACTGAATTGAGAGCTAGCTTTCCCCTGCACAACACAGCATTGCAACACACTAACTGGCATTCTTACTTAAGGTGCCACAAAAGGTGAGAGTACAGTGAACCTGTAAAGTGGAATACTTCTGGAAGTAGAGTACCTCTGTAAGTGGAACACTTTTCAGAGTCCCAATACCAAATGACTTAATGTAAAATAACCTGTTTAAGTGGAACACTTCCCAAGTGGAACACTTTTTAAAGGAACCAAAGGTGTTCCACTTAAACAGGGTTTACTACACTCTACCTAGTCCTTGTCCTCCATTATTGTGGAGGGGGGATGAACTTTGTGCAAGTGGCTGAGATGGGATGAGTGTGTTTAAAGGGGTTCATTCATCTAACAACCCAGTTGACAGTAGACATAGTTACCAGTTTCACCACCAAGTGGCTAATTTGGGTCAAACAGTTCCCTTAAACTTGAATACTCATCAGTTCTAGTAGATCAATTTTCATGTAATTTTTCATATAGATTTCAAATTTGATATCACTTTGACTAATTTTGAATTTTTAATGATTATTTCTACTTGCATTTTCACCAACTGAAACTTGTTATCACTAACTTGAACAAAAAAAACAGATCATGGAGTTGATGAACATTTGTTTTATATTTTTATTACTAGCAAGGTCGGAAAATGTCTGACTCGGATCAAGGTCAACAAGGTAACATATGCACATTCATATGTACTGTCTATTGTATATTTCCATATACAGTAAACCAGACATTCCTGTAACAGCTGGACTAATCATTTTATCTCCTGAATAAAAACAATTCATCAGAGTTCTCAAACCAACCTAGTTGAAAACTTTTTTGATGACCCAAAAAGTGCTGCTGTTCAAATGTTTGACATAAAGATATGATGGTTTGGTTTGGTCTACAGATTTGTTAATAAAATGAAAAATGGGCCCAAATTCTTGTTATAAAGGTTTGATAAT